ATGAGTGTTAAATTTTTGATTTTACACATTAATAACGAATAAACAAAGGCTTTGTGTATGTGGCTTTTGAAGCTCCACTGTTATAAATAAACACAATATGATCATTTGGAAGCTTCTTTGAAAATTGGACTCATGAACTCTTTTAGCACTTGCAAAAGATGTAGGTTTTTTCATTATTTTTTTAAAATGTATTGCAGCAATATATACCTAAGTATCAATACCTACATCAAAACACAGGAAGCAATTTCCTCACAATCACAATGCATTCCTCTTAACTTCACAATTTTTTACTCACAACAGAAAAAAAAATATCCTGTATTTATTCCAACACAAAATGAATAATTTTGCTTAATTGAACCATTTTTTTGCACTGTCCAAAACTCCAACTATGGAGCCCTAGCCATTTCTATATGAAAGACAAATAATACTAAGCCAGCTACAATGTAAGTGTACACGAACATACTGTTTATAACTAATACAAATACTGAGCTTTATAAAGACAGATATGAAGTTCAACAGAAACAAGAGATGAAAAGTATATTTAAGTACATGTTTAATTAGTATTTTCTAAAGAATGTATCTGTAATACTTTAAAAATGGTATTTTTAGATTTCTCCCTACGAAGAGAATAAACTGTTAACTATTTGTCTCTATAACAAATTTAAACAGTGCATTGGTTTTATGCTGCTTTAGCACAGAGATTAATTTTATAGCACTATGACCAATATATACTAGAACATGTACATATTGAGCATGTATATATTGTATACATACAGTACAGGCATTCTGTAACACTTTACAATGGATTTTTTAAGAAATGGTATATGAATGACTGAAATATAGATAGTTGTGATAAAATTCAAGATCTCTTAAGCAATGTTTCAGTTAAAACATTTTTTTCTACTTTTGTTTTCTAATTTAAGATTGGAAACATAAACTCTTGAATTCCAAAACAGAGCACCAAGTTGAAGTTAAATTTGACACAACAAACCTGTTCCTGTATTTGGCAAAATAATTTCTCAATGCAATATTTGCAAATGACTCATTAAGCCAAGAACAATATATACTTGTCTATATATTTAAGTAATACTGGGGGGAAAGTGACAACTTTTAAATAGTCTGGAATTTATGAATAGAAAAATATTTATTATTGACAATAACTATTAAGTTATTAGTAAAGAAAACATACAAAGCATTTATTGATAGAAACAGTGGAGTCTGTAAAGAAGAATTGTTGCTTTCTTTATCATTATATGGTGAAGCGGTAGAATGTAGGCATTCTCCATGAATGCCAGAATATTGTTAATTTATATTAAAGTAGGGCAATATATTTAGCAGCCAATCCTCCGTAAGCATCTAGAAAAACACGACCACTTGCTTCTATGTCTTAGCAATCTATCAAGCAGGTAATGTTATTAAACAATTATTCTGGATAGTTTTAGCAGCCATGGCCATATAATGCTGATCTATTATTTAAGAAAACCCACTCATTTTTGTTATTTAGGTACAGTATAAAATTGAGTATGTACTGTTTTTATACACATTCTGACCTAGGCAAAATAGGCAAATTATTCCTATCATTATGAGAACATAGTGTAAAAGGTTGATTCTTCTCCTTCCTCTTCAGACTGGTTTTGTTGCATTTTTTTTTTAATTTTCCACTGTCCCAGCCAATGAAACAAAAAAAATGACTTCATAAAAATAGTCCTCTGTGATAACAGGTTGGACTAGGCTGTGTGGAATTCAACAGTTACATTTGTAGAAAAAATGTTTGGAGTATTGGTGTGTAAATTGTCTTGTACTGTTAAACAAAATGATTTGTACATGGAGCAAGATTTCCAAAATTTCCAAACTTACAACTTAGTACCTGTGTATCAGCACACATTTTCAGACAATCACTATCTTGCTTATATTATTAACTGTATGTTGTGTGAGCATTGGGACTAATAGCATTTCAGATTGGAAGGCAAAAATGTTTCAGATCATGTAGGGATGCAAAACTAACACTTGTCATCAATGCCTTAACCTGAAATCTGCTTTAAGGGGTTGCAGATAGGTGCTATGTTTGTGCCTTCAAATATAAAGTTTTGCGAACTACCCTTATTTGTAAAATTAAATATTTATATTTCTTTCTTTGAATATTACAAGGATGCATGTTTTGTTTCCTTGGAAAAAACGAATAGTTCAGCTATGATAACAGCAATATAGAAAGTACTTAAGAGTCTTCAAAATTATATTTCATAAAAAATCTGTTACAATCAAACCACATGAAATGTAACTTACGATGTCTATTTGAACCTATCTTGATATAAATTAATAGAGTGTAAGTTTAACGTTAGATGATTAACAAAGCTGTTAACAAGCCATTTTTAAAAGCAAAGGGACCCAGGGTCTCCAAAATGCATAGAAATGGGTCCAACATAAAATGTTAACGTGGCTTTTACATTTTTTTCTGTAGATTTATACTTGCTATACAGATAGCCTAACAGAAAGTGTCTGCAATGAAGAATCACAGTTTGTCATTTTTTCTGCCATTTTATCATTTAGATCGAATGCATCAATTCCTTCTTCTGCTAATGGAAGCACATCCTGAGAGACTAAAACAGCACTGCATAAAATATCCTTTTCTTCTGATGAAACAGCTGTATGGGTCTTACAACTTTCTGTTCTATTGCTGCAATTTATCTTTTCATCAGAATCATCTAGTTCTTCAACTGTTTTTAAATATTCTTGGAGAAGAGTATTGTTCTGGTCGTTGTTCAAACTCTCTTTACAATAGTCCTTGTGGTCAACTGGGATCTCAGCATCAGAAAGACTTCCTGAAAGAGAATCTTCACAGGGCTTGACTGTTTGCAGAGAATTTCCTAGAAAGCCTTCATTTGTTTCTGTCAAATGTTTTTCAGAGTTCTGCAACTCATTAAGGGTATTTTGGTCTGATACACAGGAATGGAAACCTGAATCAGGATATGCCTGTAAACATTTCTGATGACACATTTCAGAAGATGAACCTAACCAAGTTGAACTATCAATAGAAGGTTCTTGATTTGGTCTAGATGACTGTATGAATAATTCATGTGGACCCAGAATGCCAAGTGCAGGAGTAGCTTTTTCCCAGATATTAGTTAGGTGTTGGTTTACTGAAAGCTGCCATTCCTGGATAGATTTAACCTATATAAACCACAAAAATAAAAGATTATAATATATACTGTAATTTCATACGTAATCGCATAATTATCTCATTTCACATGAGAAAGGTAATTGGGTCAACTGTAAAACACAGCAAGGTTGGGCTGTTGGTTTGATCTCTTGAGCTTGGCGATTTGGCTGCAAACGTTTCGTCTCCATTTGGGGGGACATCTTCAGTGTGCTTTGAATTGTGCTCATCTGTCAGAGCACTGGCCTTTAAATACCTTTTTGTGTGATGTAAATTGGTGTGGGTGTTATTTGTCCGGATGTTTCTGAGCCATAATCTGGTTTCAGGCTGTTTGATTGGCTGGTTGTTGTTGCTGGGCCATAGCTTTTGGTGTTTAAGTATCGTCTGTGTGATGCAAATGGTGTTTGTTCAGTTGGTTGCCTCTGAGTCATGGTCTGGTTTCGGGTTGTTTGGCTGGCTGGCTGTTGTTGAGACATGGTCCGGTTTCTTGTGAGGGAATTGTGATTTTTGTTGCTGTGTGGTGGGGTGCCTGTTTGTTTTAAATGCTTCCTTTGGGATTGAAGTAGTTCTTTCATTCTTAGTGGTTGGTAGATTGGGTCAATGTCAATGTGTCTGTTTATTGATTTATTGGTGGAGAACCAGGCTTCGAGGAATTCTCTTTCTCCCCTTGATTTCACTTGGGTTATAACTGTGGTCCCGGTTAGATCAAACTTGTGTCCTTGAGTCTTTGTGGACGGACATGAGAGATAGTGTCTTTTGATAGCCAGACATCTAGGAATGGCAGTTTGTTTTTATTCTCGGTTTCTATTGTAAATCAGATGTCTGTGAAGACATTGTTGATTCTTTGGTAGGTTTGGTTGACCTGGTTGCGGTTGATTATCACAAAGGTGTCATCCACGTAACATACCCATAGCTTGGGATTTATTTGTGGAAGTACAACTTCTTCAATTTTCTGCATAATGACTTCTGCGACCATGATGACAGATGAGCACAATTCAAAGCACACTGAAGATATCCCCCCAGATGAAAATAAAACGTTTGCAGCCAAATCACCAAGCTCGGAGATCAAACCAACAGCCCAACTATCAATCCGAGCTACTAATATTCAAACTTAAAAAGCAGAGACATCACCCTGCCAACAAAAGTATGTATAGTCAAAGCCATGGTTTTCCCACTTGCAATGTATGGCTGTGAAAGTTGGACCATAAGAAAGGCTGAGCGCAAAAGAATTGAGGCCTTTAAACTATGGTGCTGGAGAAGACTCCTGCGAGTCCCCTGGATTGCAAGGCGATCAAACCGGTCAGTCCTAGATGAGATCAACCCTGGCTGTTCTTTAGAAGGCCAGATCCTGAAGTTAAAACTCAAGTACTTTGCCCACCTAACGAGAAGGAAGGACTCACTGGAGAAGAGCCTAATGCTGGGAAAGAATGAGGGCAATAGAAGAAGAGGACGACAGAGAATGAGGTGGCTGGATGGAATCACTGAAGCAGTAGGCGTGAGCTTAAATGGACTCCAGAGGATGGTAGAGGACAGGAAGGCCTGGAGGAACATTATCCATGGGGCCGCAATGGGTCGGGCACGACTTCGCAACTAACAACAATATTCAAACATGTCAACACAGCAAGGTTTCAGGAGAATGTCTTAGTCTTTATTCATAGAAATGAATATTTAGGAAAACTAACTTTACCTGATCCCAAAGAAATTTGACAGCTTCCTCTTGCACAAGTCTTTGAAGCATCTCTTCATTTTTTTCTTTTTTTAACCTGCAAATGATTTTCATATATACATATATATCAAGCTATAAAAATGTTACTACTTTGATCACCACCTTTGCTGCAATACAATTATTTATAGGTAGTCCTTGACTTACGACCATAATTGAGCCGCAAATTTCTGTTGCTAGGCAAGACAATTGTTAAGTGAGTTTTGTCCCATTTTACCACTTTTCTTGCCACAGTTAAGTGAATTACTGAAGTTGTAAAGTTAGTAAATGATTGTTAAGTGAATCTGGCTCCCCCAATGACTTTTCTTATCAGAAAGTGGTAAAAGGTAGTCACATAACTCCAGGACACTGCAACCGTCATAAATACATGGCAGTTGCCAAGTGTCAATTTTGATCATGTGACCATGGGGATGCTACAACAGTCATAAGTGTGAAAAATGATCATAAGACACTTTTTTTTAGTGCTGTTGTAATTTCAAATGGTCATTAACCAAGTGATTGTAAGTCGAGGACTACCTGTATTGCAGTAAGAATAGATTCTAGCAAAGAATGGAGTTTGGGGGGAAGAAATGTATTTACATCAGTTTATTGATTAAATTTGTCAACTTCATCAGTTTAATAACAATACAACTTAATTTCTGTTTGCTAGAGACACTGAAATAATTTTTTCTCCCTTGATTATGCTAACAAATGAATATTTTTGAAAGAATACTTCATTTTATAAAGATGGTGAACAATTTGTTCTCTCGTCTGGAGAACAAAGAGGAGCTTACCAACTGAAGAAAATGAAACTACTACCCCAACTATAAATTACTTCTATCCTATTATTTCAGTTTACTTGACTTCCTACTTACTTTTCAACTTCTTCAGTTAAATGAACGATATGTTCTTGCATTCTGTTTAGTCGAATTTCATAGCGTGCTTCCCTGACTCTGGATTGGAATGTTCTTGTATAAAATCCTCTCCAACAGGCCTGAAGTTTGGTGGCAGCTTTATTCATTTCTACAAGTTCATCTTTCTTCTGGGTTACAGTAACTGATGCATCGGTGGACAGTTCTAGAGAATTAGCAACAGAAACATATTTGATAACATTCTCTTCTGGTGAGGATGACTGCTTTAAGTTACTGAACTTTACATTGTCTTCAGGGGACACTTGATAACTGCTAACATCATCAAGTTGAATATCAGTGTTCACTAAAGAAGAAACAATGGGGAAAATATCCTCCTCTTGATCTTCATTTTGAGTTTTTACCAGGTCTGCTGACTTGTGGGTATACTTTTCCAAAACCACAGAAGCATTTTTCTGCTTTTGTTTGTTTTGCATATTAAGATATTTTGTAAATTCCAAATCAGTATCCCCCAGATCTTCAACATCCTCTACATCGATGCCAATTCCATGAAGTTTCAGTTCTGCTGAAGTGGGAGACATTGGAGAGAGCACTGAAGCAACAGGCATAAAAGTGGATTCTGAAGATAGGAGACTACTGTTCAACTTGTCCTCGTCAGTTTGTATATCATCCAAGTAAAAATCCTTAGAAATATTTCTTTCAGCTTGTACCGAAGTTGGAGAAATATTTTTAATTGCATAAGAATGGTCATCATTGGATTTTGTCACAACCCAGGTATTCTTTTTAATAATACGTTCTGGAAAAGAGAGAAAGATAAAACATATAGACTTTCAATATTTATGTATCTACGTATGTTGAGGGTGGAGGTTCATTCTCCGAGCTTGTGGCTTGGTTTCCGAACATTTCATTACCAGGCTAGATAATATCTTCAGCAGAATTTAGGGGATGTCAGTGTTCTGCTTATAAGGGCTTTGTGTGGTCAGTAGATCTTGTGATGGTGACATCATGTCAGGTGAGGATGACCTCAGGTTAGGGTCTTGTGATGAATCAGGTGTGGGTGTGTCAAGTGAGGGTCTTATGGGTCTTGTGATGGATCAGGTGTGGGTCACCAGTGAGAGTCTTATGATGGGTCTTGTGATGGGTAAGTCACGTCAGGTAGGTAGAGCTATGGATTCGAGTCATTAACAAGACCAATCCATAGCTCTACCCACCATCCAACCAAAATTCTGAACATGCTATGTCAATGACACCTTTGTCATCATCAAACACTTCCAAATTGAAGTAATATACCACCTACTCAATAATATATTTCCCAGAATCAAATTCACGTGTCGTGAAAAAACCCAATTAAAAAAAGACAAGAGACAGCAACACAAAAACAATAATTCTTACTTTAAGATTCAAAGGTTTATTTTTCTAGTAATTTGGAACACAGCATTACTTACATTACTCCTTGTTCTTTTGTGCTGACCAGCAGTTTCCATATATACCCGTGTACATCTGAAACCTCTATCCATCTGTTACTTTCAGTTCCTCTTTTCCCACGGTTACAATACTCATGTTCCAAATATACATAGAACTACCTACTTTGCAATTTGATATTACACAATTCAGCAGATTACAAATAATACATCCGTATTGTGAAATAATATAAAGTTCAATTAAAGCTTTAAATCACTCCTGTGGGGCCTATCTCAGGTTTGCTCCAGCCTCATCATGTTATATGAAGAGGCTATATTTTCATCTCCCATACATGTGAAGAGAAAACAGACAAAAGACTTCCATTCCTTGACATCAACATAAGGATACTAGACAACAGAGAGCTGGAGACCTGCAACTACCGCAAACTCACTCACATAGACCAGATCATCAGCTTTGCAACCAACTACCCACCGGACACAAAGGAGGCTTTGTCCCAACTCTCTTCAGAAGGGCTAGGACACGCTGCAGCACCACAACCCTAAGAAAAGCAGAAGAGAAACGGCTGCTTGACGTCCTTCTCCGCAATGGCTATCCGAAAAACATCGTATTCTGACACACAGCACCCAGACCACAATGCACCAAAGCACCACAATGCACTAGCCAACCACCACGCAAAAACTAACCCTACCATACACAAAAAGGGTGTCGGAAATGACAGCCAGAATTCTCCAACCTCTAGGAATAGCAAGAGCCCACAAACCCACAGCCACACTCCACCAGGAATTATCTAGAACCAAATATAAGATACAGAACGATGAAAGAAACAATGTGATTTACAAAATCAACTGTAGCAATTGCAACTAATTCTACGTAGGATAAACATCACACCAATTGAAAACCAGTATCCATGAACACCAGCTGGCAGTCAAATGCCACGATCATAAATCCCTAATCACTACCCACACTGACACTAAACAGCACCAGTTCAATTGAAGCAATATAAGAATCATCAGCCATGCTACCACCTGCCAGGCTCATGAATTTATCGAAGCCTTGCACTCCACAACCAATTCCATCAACCGACACATTGACTTACAACCAGTCTACGAACCCCTCAGAATTCAAATCAACAGCACAGCCCACCAGAGACAGCACTCTCAACCAATTACGCAATCCCTGCACCAGCACTTCACCTCCCAATGATCCTCACGTGACGTGACCTCCCCATCACAAGACTATCACTAATGACCCACATTTGACCCATCACAAGACCCACAAGATCCTCAGTTGTCACACCCACACCTGACCCATCACAAGACCCATCAAAAGACCCTGACCTGAAGTGACCCTGATGTGAGGTGACCTT